ATGCACTCACATAAAGGGCTGGGATTTTTTTTTCTCTCCTGCAGACAGGACCCACTTTTCCTTATGTGGGAACATAGAAAAGATACTTGGTCATAGACCTTTGTTACTCTTTTCTTTTGAGGTGCTGGAAATGGAAGCCAGGGCTTCATACATGTTAGGCATGCCCTCTGACACTCAGCTTCGGCCTGCTTCAGGTTAATGCAGGTTGATACAGGTCGAATCTCCCTTATTAAAAAATGCTCAAGACCAGAAGTGTTTTGGACTTTGGATGTGTTTTTGTTTTGGAATATATATATATATATATATATATATATATATATATATATATATATATGAGATGTCTTGGGTATAAGACTGAAGTCTAAATGAGAAATTCCTCTATGTTTCATATATACCTTATATGCATATCCTGAAGGGATATGCGATATTTTTAATAATTTTGTGCAAGAAACAAAATGTTTCATGGTGTGGAATTTTCCACTTGTAGCATCATATTGTCACTCAGAAAGTTTCAGATTTGGGGGCACCCAAATAACAATCAGTCAGTAATACCATTTTGAAATAGGAGGATAGCAGTTCATAGAAGATTTGAACAAATGACTGTCTGTGATAAGGAAGAATATTTAGCAAAAATTTTAATGAAAGTTCATTTTAAGAAGTTAGGGTTTTCTGTGGTACTGGGATTTGCACTCAGGGCTTTGTATTTGCTAGGCAGGTACACTTGAGCAATACTTCTAGCTCTTTTTGCTCTGGTTATTTTAAAAATAGGATCTCACTTTGCCTGGGCTGACTCTGATCACCCATACCTCTTTTTATGCCTCCTGCTGTAGCTGGGATGACAGGCACACATCGCCATGCACAGATCTTTCTATACAGATGGAGTCTCGTGACCACCCCCCGCCCGCCCCAGCCTTGGAATCTTGATCTCAGCCTAGGATTACAGACATGAGCCACTATGCCACTGGTCTTGGTTGGATTTTGGGGAGACTGTCTCCTGACTATTCTATATAGCCATGAATAAACAGAAGTGAGCTTAAATTTGATTTGTATCACATTTTGCCATAGTTCCCTAACTCAGCCAAATTTTTTTTCACTTTTCTTTATTTTTTTTTAAATTATTTTTGTTGTACTGGGGTTTATTGTGACATTTGCAAAAGTTCCTACAATGTATCATAGTTGAATTCACCCCCCTCCATCATTCTCCTTTATCCCCTTTCTCCCTACTCCTGGAATAATTTCAACAGGTCTCATTTTTCCATTTTCATATATGAATACATAATATTTCTACCACATTCACCCTCCTCTCCCACTTGTGCCAGACCTCAGACAGGCTCTGTTTTATCTTCCTCTTCTCCAATTTTGAAAAAAAAAAAAAGATGGTTTGTTTGTATAAGATAGTTTATACAGGGAATTTCATTGTGACATTTCCATGTATGTATGGATTATAACTCAAATAGGTTCATCCCCTCTATTTTTCTTCTTTCTACCTTAGTCCCCTTTTATGAGAAGGAAGCTAAGAAGGTAATATGGTTGATGCCTTTTCTATACAAGAATGAATATAGAATTTTTTAAACTACTGAAATCACCAAAAAAATTTTTTTGTGAGAGTGCAGATATAAGGTTTCTCAAATACCTATAAGTAATATCTTCACAAAAGAAGATAGGGCCAGGAGGGGTGGTGTGGCCTGTAGTCCCAGCTACTCAAGAGGTTGAGGCAAGATGATAGCTTGAGCTCAGGAGTTTGAGGCTAACCTGGGTAACATAGTGAGACCCTGTCTCTTAAATTAAAACAAAGAAAGGAGAGGTACAAATATCACTGAGCTATATGAGTTTGCCCCTCTGCCACCCCACCAAGAGATATCACCCCGTGAGCCAACTAAATGGTGGAGTAACTGCTGTGTTCAAACCATTGTGAAGTCCCACACTGATGGGATGGACTCTCCCAGAAGTACCACTTCCTCGGGGCCTGAACTGCGTTGAATAGCATCTCCCCTGCCCCCAAATTCATGTGTATCTGAACCACATAATATGACTTGATTTTGAAATGGGGTCTTCACAGATGTGATTAGTTAAGTTGAGGTCATACTGGATAAGGGTGGGCCCTAAATCCAGTGGCTGATGTCTTTAGGAAGAAATAAGCAAAGCCACAGACACACAGGTAGAGGCCACCTGAGGACCCGGAGAGGTTGGGTGATGCACATACAAGCCAAGGAATGGCTCCTACAGTCACCAGAAGCTAAGGAAAAGTATGGAGCAAATCTCCCTCAGAGCCTCAGGAAGGACCCATGTAGCAGGCACAGATTTCAGACTTCTAGCTTCTAGATCTGTGAGAGAGTACATTGCTGTTGTAAGCCACCCAAGCCTGTGGTGATTTGTCACCCTGAGACCAATATAGGGCCAGAAATCCCACATACTTTTTATCTGTTTCTTTTTCTTTTTTTCTTGGAAGTTTGTGACTGCAACTTTGGTCTTTAGTTCTTCAGAAAAGTAAATTGGGTCTTAGAGTTCCTCATCTCAGAAACTTAGCTGGATGTCATCAAAGAGAAAGCAGATGATATATTGTCTGTAAGTTCCCTGCTTTAAAAGTTCCTCTTGGCTTAGAAACAATGTGCTGGATAGCTTTGTGTAGAATTATTTCCAGGTGTCCACAGGGGATTGTTTTTTAATCTGACGATACAACAATCCATGGATGCTCAAGGGCCTTATATAAAATGGCACAGTACCCCCCCCCATATAATGAATACATCCTAATGAAATTTACAATAAAACATGGCATAATATTTGCATAGAATCTGCACATGTCCTACTAGATGTTTTCAATGCTCTGTAGATGACTTGTGAAAACTACTAATTGGGGCTTGGGATTGCTTAGTGGTAGAGCACTTGCTTAGTATGTGCAAGGCTCTGGATGGGATCCTCAGCACACATGCAAGAATAGAAAGCAGTGTGGTATAAATGCAATGTACATAGTTGCTATATTGTTTAGGAAATAGTGATAAGAATAAAAGTCTTCCTATGTTCAGTATAGAAGCAATTTTCCCCCCAAATATTCCAAGCTGAGGCTTGTCAAATCCATAGCTGCAGGGCCAACTGTATTTCTTTAAAAGAATGAGGAGTGGGCTGGGGATGTAGTTCAGTGGTAGAGCACTTGCCTAACATGGTCAAAGCTCTGGGTTCAATCCCCAGCACTGCAAATAAATAAATAAATGAGGAGAAACTGACAGTCTGTGGCCAAGCAGGACAAGGGAAGGTTGTGACTGGATATCACTGTCGATAGTTTCTGATCCAGGTCACCTTCACTACTTACTCCCCACACTCACACACCACTGTTAGATCAGGCACCCAGCTATCCCTATTGGCCAGGCAGTGGTCTGTAAGCCTCAGGTGTAGTCCCTGATAGTCAGGGATCCATGCCTGCCCCAGGGTCAGGAGCATTGAAGGTCCCACTGAAGCAGAGGCCTTAGGTCTCATGGGTCACGCCTAAATGCTGCCTTTACTCTGTATCCAACAGGAAATAGAAGGCAACACAAGGGTTTAATGTCTTACATTTTTACATCTCATTGCTAGTCAAAATGCGTGGCCCACCCTGAATTGCATGGATCTAAGAACCATGCAGGCAATTGCTACATAGGTAGAGAAAAGGAAGGCAGCACTGTGAATACCTGCTGTGTTGCCAGTTTTCCATCACTGTGGCAAAATACATGAGAAAATCAGCTTAATAAAGAAAAAGGTATATTTTGACTCACAGTTTCTGAGATTTCGGTCTGTGGTCAGTTGACACCATTGTTTTTGTGCCTGTGGCATGGCAGAAAGTTATGGCAGGGAACATGTGGGAAAAAACCTGCAGCTGGGAAGCAAAGAGAGAAAACGAGGAAGGGGCCAGGGTCTCAATATCCCTTTTTTTTTTTTTTTGGTGATTCTGGGTCTTGAACTCAGGGCCTACACCTTGAGCCACTCCACCGCTCTTTTTTGTGATGGGTTTTTTTGCAATAGGGTCTTGCAGACTATTTGCCAGGCTGGCTTTGAACTGCAGTCCTTCTGATCTCTGCCTCTGAATAGCTAGGGTTACAGGTTTGAGCCACCAGCACCCTGCTCTAACATCACCTTTAAGGACACACTACTAATGACTTAACTTCCTTATACCAGGCCCCATCTCCTAAACACAAACTATAAAATATGACCTTACTTTGAGTTGAGGCCATACTGGAGAAGAGTGGCCCTAGTCATCCAATGACTGTCCCTTTAAAAGAAAATGCAGGGACACAAACACACAGGGAGAAGGCCACAGGAAGACACTGAGAGCCTAGGACACCAAGTTTCCAGCAGTCATGAGAAGCTGGGAGAAAAGCTGGCCACCACTTCCCAATAGCAGCACACACTGTCAACCATTTAGCATGTGGGCTTTTGGGAGCCATATAAAATCCAAACCCTGACACCTGCCTAGACTCACAGGCAAACAAGGCTGGGGAAGTCAAGTGGCTCTTCTGGTCACCTGCCAAGGTAAGGTATTGCTTTGTGTCTTATCAAGAAAATAATTCTCCACTTTTTGTTGTTGTCATTGTTTTGGTGGGTCTGGGGTCTGAATAGAGCTTGCAAAGCAGGTATGCTATCACTTGAGTCATACCTCCAGTACATCCTGGCTACAGCTTTTGTAAAAGCACATGAAGCAGTGTCTGCTGAGCCCCAGAAACAGGCTTCTTTTTAGCCTTCAATCCACCCCAAATCAAAACTAAAATCCCATGTTGATAACTAAAAGTCCATAATCGATGTCCTTACCATTGGCCTGAGGACACAAAGGCACATTAGCCATGCTGGTTACTCGCCTTTCTCTGGGGATCCATTCAATAACCCAGACGTATTTTCATTTCTTTGCATCACACATATCTGATCATTGCTTTTATAAAACATCCTGATTTAGAAAAAACAGATGCCAATTTCCTCTTCTGGTCCTCCTCTCTCTCAGGTTGGTTGACAATTTCTGCATTTGTGAGGGGTCCAGTGTGCCTCGCTGTCTCATGTATGAGATTTATGTGGAGACCTACGGACAGAATGCACAAAACCAGGTCAACCCAGCAACATTTGGGAAGGTGAGTTATGAAGATTTAGTAATATTGTACACACTGGGTAAAACCAGCAAATTTCATTTAATGGCTGAGATAAGTGCTGAGGAATGTGTATTAGGTGATTCATCATAGTTTGATACTGTACAGTGCACTTACACAGCCTGAGACAACTATAGTGTCACAGTCTTAGAGGACCACTGTCTCATTTGCAGTCCATCATTGACTGAAGGTAGTGTCATTGCATGGTGTATGACAGCGATTGAGGAAAGGGTGAAATATACTTGGGTCTAATGGGTTATCGTTGGTATAGCTGACTACATTCTGGGAAGCCAATCAGATGGTCAGCATCCTTCTGTTAGCCACTTTCCTCTGTCCATGCTTCATAGTCAGGGCCAGGAAAGAGGTGGCAGCTGCAAACACCCCAGCTTTGTTGGGCCATTACTCCTATGTAGAAACACCAAAGCTCAGTGCCACACAAACTGTGAGCCACTCCGGTTGGTACCCAACAACTGATGCTTCCCACCATTCATTTGTATTTAGATAACTCATTTGCCCCTAAAGATTTCCTTTAGCTATAGGTATTTCCTATATCTTGAGATATAGGATCAGAACCTACACTAGAGAACTTCATTGAAGAGCACGTGTGCATAGCAAACATTGGTACGATGGTCTGAGACCCTCTGCATGCAACAGATGCTCATTGAACAACTGCTCAGTGTCAGGCACTGTTTTAAATGCTGGGGATATGTCATATGCCTCTGTATATGAACAAGATAGATGAATATTCCTGTCCTTATCCAACTTGTATTCTAGTTGTCACAGCCAGCAGGCTCAGGCAGGTAGCATTAGTGTTGTTGCATGGTCAGCAAACAAACCTGGAGTGATTAAAGCAAGGGTTCCAGAGCTAGTCACAGTGGATGAATGGCAAATGCAGCCTCCTGAATGACAGTCCAGAGTTCTTTCCATTTGTTACCCCCCCACCCCCAAGTGTCCCTGAGTATAGAGACATTGATGGTTACATGGTCCAAGTGCACGCCCAGTACAAGTTTGTTCCAAAGCACCCTGTCTGCAAATTTTTCATGAAAACAAAGAGCCCTCTTATGGCAGAGACAAAGTTGGGTGAGTGGACAGCACATTTATGCAAAGGGGAGGGCAGTTCTTCCCATTGGGCAAACACACCTCACACCAGGATTTGTGCCTTGACGGGAGAACACAGACTGATGAGTTCTTATCAAGGGCCTGGGTCCAGTTTACAATCTGTACATCCATACTGCTTTGGTGGCCATCTGGTGAGGGCTTAGATGATTTCAGGGCCATAGGGAATTTGCTCACTGGGTCACAAAGTTGCCAACTCAATTTCCTCCATTCTTCCCTTCTACTTTTCTCTTCTTTCCTTCCTTCCTTCTCCCTCTTTTTTTAGTTGTGCTCAAGTGTATGGAATTGGTTTGGTTCATAACACATTTTAATCACTGATGCATGCATGGCCTGATTGTTAAAAATAATTTATCTAAATAAGGAAATCAAAGATCTAGTTAAAGAAAATATAACTAGTTAAGTTCTTTTTATGTGATAAATACCTGTGATAATGAACCATGTTTTCAGTTCCCCCATTCTATCTCCCAGCCTCCCTGCTGGTGGGAACCACCATCCTTGTCATCATTATGCTGCCTGATGAAGACTCTGAGAAGGCGAGGGTGGCCATGCTTAGCATATTTGAGGCCCTGAGTTCAATTACCAGCTTCAAAAACATAAAAGGGTTTAGTACATTTAGAGGTATTAAGCCTATTTTAACTTTGGTTATTTAATTTTATTTATTTTTGCAGTACTGGGGTTTGAATTCAGGGCCTACACCTTGAGCCACTCCATCAGCTCTTTTTTGTGAAGGTTTTTTTGAGATAGGATCTTGTGAACTGTTTGACTGGGCTGGCTTTGAACCGTGATCCTTCTGATCTCCTGAGTACTGAGGATCACAGGTTTGAGCCACTGGCACCCGGCTTGATTTTTGTTGTTTAACTTGATTCAAAAAGCTATGTTGTCTACAGTCTTTGGGCACTTTTATCACTTATACTATATTATGAGTGCTATAAGTTCACCCAACTGTTGTGTGATGTTGTGGGTAAACTGTGTGAACAGTGGATCTCACAGTTTACCCATCCACTCTCCCATGGATGAGCATTTGGGCTGTTTCCTAATGTTGCCATCGGGAACACTCGTGTACCTGTGTCCATGTGTACATATGAAGATTTTCACTTCAATGTGTATGTCTAGGAGTAAACCAGCAGAGCCAGAGGGTAGATGGCCAGTGATGTCAGGGTCAAACCCTTCCCAAGGTGTTTGCTTCAATTTGTCCTCCACCTGTGGGTTCCAGTTTTATTTTCAAGACATTGAAAAGTGTAGATCCATTCTTCCAACTCAAATCCTCATTCCTGAAACTTTTGGTCATTGGTGGAAGTTCTACTTTCATGATAATCATAGGATGGATGGTAGAATCTTCTAATGTGGCAGCTGCCCAAATAGTTGAAACACTGCTCACATCTTCCTGTCTTCCTTCCCCTGTGAACACTTTTAGCTCCCAAAACTTCACCTTCCTGCCCACCCATTTCCTTATGACTTTAATTTGTTGATGCTCCTCTTAAAACTGGCTCTAGGGGTCCAGCCCAGTACCTCAGGTATGCTTAGTGGATGGGAGCTCTCACTTTTTCCTTCCTACCTTCCCTCTTTTGTTTCTTTCTTTTTTTTCTTTCAATTCTCTTCCTTCCCTCCACCCCTCCCTCCCTTTCTTCTTTCCTTCCTTCCTTCCTTCTTTTCTTTTTGACTTCTATTGGCTTGTATCCTCCCATATCACCCTGTTGGTTTTACTTTAAGTTTGTGGTCAGCAAAAATAACTCGAGTATTTTTTCACATGGATCAAAATTAAGCTAGGCCTCCCCAAACTGCTTGTAAGCTGTGAAATTCTCCATGTAAATGTAAAAGGATGTGTTGCTGTTGGGCTATCATCATTAAGCAGTATTATTGTAAAGCCAGTATAGCTACCCCTTTATCTGTATTGCCATTCTCCTCTTTGGTGTTGACCTGAAGTTCTATTTGTTGTCATCTTCTGGAATCCCAGATAGGTCATCAAGTCTCAGCCTGGTGATCTCATGTGTGTTTTCCTTTGTTTTGCAAGGTGATACCCAGTAAGGTTTTCCACCCAGCGGGAAATTCCCCTGGTGATGTTATCTTCCAGCCCACAATTTGCCATTTCATCCCTCAGAATATTAGGAAGCATTATGGAGCCTTTGCTGAGCTCTGGGTATCCTGGCACAACAGCCTTGTCTTTGCCACCCACCTGCCAACAATCAGCGGGAAGTAGAAGACTTCAGTTGGACATGTTTGGCTCTATGTGATCCTTACTTCCCTTTCTAAGACAGCAAAAACTCTTCTTCCGTATCTTTTATACATCTTGTTATAAGATTGTTTTATTTCTAGAGCAAATCCTCTTTCCCCATATCTTTTTAGGATCTAGGGACAGGGTGTAGAACTCAGGAGTAGAGCTCAGTGCTTAGCATGTATAATCCCTGTATTCAATACCAGTACTAAAAACAACAATAACAAGAAACAAAAGAAAACAAAAAAGATGTCCTTATGAGGTGGTTTCAAACTGCAGAGAATTCCAAAGTGGGGGGAGGGACTAGAAAAAGACTAGTGTGTGACATCTACATTTATTTTTCATTTTTTCATCTTAATACTTCCTTTAGAATCCATTCCCCTAAAATGAGAGGCCAAGGCCCTAACTTTAAGCTCTGGCTGAAATTTGCCTGGTGAGTGGTCCAGTGTGGTGTAGCTGATCTTGGGAAGGCTCTCTGTGCTGCCAGATTTGTGACTAAGCGGAGAAGAGAAGGGAAGGGGAAACGGATATGATCCCAAAGCATGTTTACAAGACAAACAACAAAATACCCAATTCTCACTTCCTCCCTCTTTCCCTGGAAATGGAGTTGATTCGCACCCAGTTCCTGTGCAGATGTTGGAGTACTGCTGGTCTTTTTGGCAGAACTGGGCAACACGGGTCATGCTTGTTCCTGCTCCAAGTAATATCTTTCATGGATTGGGGAGTTTCCGGAGACCAACTTCCTCCATTAAAATAACATTTACTAATGTTTTTCTGAATAAAAAAGGACTACATCCCTGAGCAAGAAATGTGGAAATTAAAGAAAGACTGTTAAGAAGAAAATAAGTACTGCCTTAGCCTCACACATGAGAGTGGTTCACTTGCACACATGCACACACACTCATGCACACATGTGAGCAGAGGAGTCAGGGAGTAAGCCACAGACTTCTCCATTTCCTATATTCCTCCTTGTTGGATGGTTGTCACCCTGTCCTTCACTTCATTCCCTATAAATAAGCAGTTGAGCAGGCAGCAGGCTTCCTTGGAAACCCATAGGTGATGAAGTCCAGTTGTCACTCTGATCCAACAGCAGCAGTCTGATGCTTGGACTGTCTAGCCCCAAATAATCAAACTCCAAACGTGGATTGAAGTGGAGTCATTTTCAGAAGGGAATGGTGATACATTCCTGTAATCCCAGCTAAGTGGGAGGCGAATGTAGGACTGTGGTCTGAGGCCCACCCCAGGCAAAAAATGTGTGACCCTATCTGAAAAATAACTATAGCAAAAAGGGCTAGAGGTATGATTCAAGTGGTAGAGATCCTGCCTAGCAAGCACAAGACCCTGCATTCAAACCCCAGTACCACCAAACAACAAAAAAGGTGAAGCCACTTCCCCTTCAGCTTGGTAGCTTGCTACAAAGAACTAGGTATAAGGACTTCTTATGGTTTGAATATGAAATGTCCCCCAGGAGGCTCATGTGTTAGACGCTTAGCTGGTGGGACTATTTGGGGAGAGATTCCAAAAATCTCAGGAGATGGGGCCTAGTTGGAGGAAATAGGTTACTGGGGTATGACTTTGAAGGTTATACTGGTCCTTAGTCCCCTCTTCTCTCTCTGCTTCCTGATCACCTTAAGGTAAAGAAGCTCCTCTCCCACTGACTCCCCCTCTATGATGTTCTTCCCAAGGGCATAAGCCAACCAGCCTTGGACTGAACCCTCTGAAGCAATGAGCCAAAATAGATCTTTCCCCTTAAGTTATTTATGTCAGGTATTTTGTCACCCCCTTGGTACTGTGAATGAATTTTCTGCGGTTGGCCATTTTCTGTCTGCCCATCCTAGGGCCATGCAGGGCAGAGTCTGGACTCTCCCATACACCAGATCTTTCTCACACATGGCTTACTTCTGGCCACAGAAAATCTTGGGCCATTCTCGGCCTGAAAAGATTTTGGGTGTGTCGGCCAAACCCAAAGAAGTAGCCTTTCTCTTCTGCTCAGTCACCAAAGCCATTGGGCAGCCTTCTTCTCACTGCCCACTGGAGTCCCAGACCATCGCCAGGTGCTGACTGCAGGGACCTTACAGAAAGCTCTTCAAGTGACTGGGAATCCTCCCTGCTGGGCCTGAGGTGACCCAACCACATCTCTCCCTACACGTTCTTCACAGAGGAGAGAATGGTCTTGCAGCAAGAAGTCTTTGACACTTCCTCCTCTCTACTTCATTGTGGGTGAGTAAAGTTGAGGGCCTATTTTAGAATTTTATAGTCAAATTTTAGGGTACAAGTCCCTAGAGTGTATCTCTCATGGTTCAGTCTGTTATCTGCTGCTTCCACCCTTGAGGCATAGATATTATGAGGATGGATTAATTGATATATGGTTGGATTGCAGACAGATGGACAGATGGATAGATAGATAGATAGATAGAAGAGTCTCTCTTTCTCTGAAGACTTTCTCCTTCTTGATCTCTTATTGCTTTCCCATCTTCTGGACACACCTGTCACAAGGACCCCTTTTGTTAAATCTTCTCTGATTATTTTCAGTTTAGGGTACCATCTGTTTCCTGTCAGGCTATAAGAGAGAGAGAAAGAGAGAATAGATAGGTAAGTAGGTAGATGATAGATAGATAGACAGACAGACAGACAGACAGTATATAATATGGTATAATTTTTAACAACACCAAACCAAGAATCACACTTCTTAGGTTATAACCCTGGGTAACTTATTTAACAATAGTGTCTCATCTTCTTCATCTGTAAAATGAAGATACTAGCAATAGTAATATTAATACTAACACCTATTTCTTGAGGTTCTTTTAAAGATCGAATGAGAGAATACATGTAAAGAGAATAAAATAGTCCTGGCAGTCAAGAAATGTCAGCTTTTATTATTAAATGTCTATTTTTTTTGCTCAAAACATCAAAGACATTTTCACAATAAATATTCTTAAATGCATGTTTTATAATGACTGTTGAAGTTTTTTGGAATGTGCCATAATTTATTTAACCATCCCCCCCTTGTTGGGAATATAGGTTGTTTATAGTTTTTCTCTGCCTAAGTGACATAAATCTCCATCTGTATCTGGTGATTTCCCTAGGATAGATTCTCAGACATGGCCTGCCAAATCGCTTTTCACAACCAACTGTAAACAATTATAATCAATTCACAATCCCCCCCCATAAGTCATGATATTCTTATTCGAATCCAAAACATTCCTAACCTAGAAAACTTGTTAGTTGAAAACAGCATTTAGCTGTTTCTACTTGCATTTTGGGATTATGAGAGAATTAAGTGCTTTGGTCACATGTACCTCTTGTGTGAATATACTATCATCAGATCTTTTATTTTGGTGGGGAGTGGGGTACAGGTTGAATATCCAAAATGCTTGGGGTCATAGTGTTGGATTTTGGATTTTCTTCAGATTTTGGAATTCCATCTATGTATGAGCTATCCTGGGGATGGGACTCAGGTGTAAACAGAAATTTCACTTGGGTTTCATTAATGCCCATAGCCTGAAAGTAAATTTAAACACTAGTGTAAATAATTATGTGCATGAGGCAGGCTGGTGGAATGGCTCAAGTGGTACAGCACCCACCTGCCAAGCAAGCATGAGGCCCCGAGTTCAAACCCCAGTGCCAACAAAAAGAAATAATATATATAAATAACTCTGTGCATGAAACAAAGCTTCACGGTGTGGGATTTTCCATTTTGTCATCATATCAGTACTTAAAAGATTTTGTACTTTCAGGTGACGAATGTTCAACTTGTATTTCCTATTGATTTGTGTGAGTTCTTTCTACATCAAAGATAGGATTTTTTACCTTAATCATGTTTTGCAAGTAATCATCCCAATTTAGTTTTCATGTTAACTGTGTTGTGCCTGCTCCTAAAATGAAATCACAGGTCAGTTGGGATTGGATTTACTCAATTACATAAACCTAGAGATGATGTTGCCAGATAACCAGATAACCAGGCCGTGTACTTCTGCTTCTCCTTTCAAAATAGCAGACTATTTCCCAGGCCTGCTGTGCGCTTGCTAGTAATTTCTTTATGTGCTTATTATTTGCATCTTGATTTTATTTTACAAATAGGTACATAGGAAGGTTTTTAAGTGATTTTCTTAAGTCGAAGGAATAAGACAACTTGTTGAAAATAGGAGTTTCTGGCTTTTAATTCTGCACTGATACTTGGCTGACTTTGGCTTTATCTCCTGTCATTTACTTTCCATCTGTATGTTTTAGTTCTCCTTCCTGAAAGGCGCTCTCCATTTGTACTTATGACATGAGTTTCCTGCCTGCCTTGCTCTTTCATTCTGCCTCCTCCACACCTGGGCTTGTGTTGATTTCCTGTAGGAAGAAGCAGGGACCTGAGTCAGACAAAAGAACTTTCACAGTGTTTCTGTCAAATCTTGATCTTGGGAGCTAACAGGGAAGGAAGGAGGGAGGTAACACGAAACCAAGCAGAAGGAGGACTGCATGATTACATAGAAAATTTAAAATTGTTACTTGACAGCCATACTCTGCATTTTGTAATTCCGCCATGATCCAGGATTTCCAGTTTCAGCAGGTGTGTGCTGATCCCATCCCGTCACTGACTTCTATTAAGGAAACAAAGGGCTCCTTCTGATCGTAGACTTGATAGAAGTGCCATTCAAGAAAGTCCTGGCTGGTAACTGGGAGATGAGAAGCCCTGTTACTCAACAGTCTAATCGCATTCACTTACAAAACCTAGGAAATGGGAAAAAAAAAAAAAGGTAAACAAATGAATAATAAACAGTAAAGGTAACTGTCACCTCAGAGGAAAACAGTAAAACTATAGCAGCTTACAAAACGGACTATTATGTAACTGTTAACAACTCTGTTTTCAGAGAATTTTTAGTGACAAAAAGGGGTTAGTGTTGAGAGATAAAAAGTAGAATGCAGAGGTTTATAAATGCTAATCGTGGATGCCAGTTATTTAATACATAAGCACACACATATTGAGGCTTTGAAAACCCCTGAGCTCTAACCCTAACCCTGACATTAGGTTTCAGTGGCAGTTTTCTCTGGGTGGCATCTTTTATTTTTCAAAATTGATTTTTTTTTTTTACAAACTTCATTTGTTTATCTTCTTTATGATCAGGAAAGAGGAAATACAATTTAAACATGGTAGGATAAAAAGTTGGAAGTTTATTTCTACATTTTCAAATTGCATCTTCAAATTTGGCTTCTTTTTTTAGCTCGTGCACTTGGTTTTTCCTGATCTTGGTACCCGCAGGCTGGGCACAAGAGGAAGTGCCAGGTATGTTTATAACTTTGCTTTAAGTGGTAAAACCAAAGATTTGGCAAATCATGAAATAAGTGACAAAACATGACCACAAAACAAACTATAAATAACAATTCTTACAAAATAGTGCCCATAAGTCAAATTAAATCCTTGTGCCTGAAATCCTCATCCCTGTTATTGTTTCTGTTGTTTCAACACGGAGCCGGGCACCAGTGGGTCACATCTGTAATCCTAGCTACTTGGGAGGCTGAGATCAGAAGGATCAGGATTGGAGGCCAGCCTGGGCAAAAAGTTCTTGAAGGGCCATCTCAACCAATAGTTGGGTGCAGTGGCATACCCTGTCATCCCAAGCTACACAGAAGGCTGAGATCAGGAGGATTGCAGTAGCAGGCCAACCTGGATGAAAAGGTGCAAGACTCCATCTCAATGAAAAAAGGCTGGGCATGGTTGCATATGCCTGTCATCCCAGCTTCTGCAGGAAGTGTAAAATAGGAGTATCAAGGTCCAGGCTTGCTCAGGCAAAAAGTGAGATCCTATCTCGAAAATAACGTAAGCAAAAAGGGCTGGAAGCATGGCTCAAGTGCTAGAGCACTGCCTAGCAAAACTGAAGCCCTGAGTTCAAACCCCCGTACCACCAAAAAAAGTGTTTAGACATTTAAATAATTACACAGATAGAATAATGGAATGTTTTAATTACTCTTTGGACTGAAAGACTATTTACTCAATTAGCGTATATGAATTACATTCAGGAGGCTGAGACCCAAGGTTATAGTTTTTACTATAAAAGAAATTGCAGAGTTAACAGGCACATGGTAATCATAATTGCCACTCAATTATTATTGTCATTTGTTGTTTGTTTTAAATGAAGATGGAAAATAAGTGAGAAGGGATTGAAGCCAAGTTAGAGAAAGGGCCAGCTGCCTAGGAAAGAACTGAACACAGTGGAGAGTTTGCCAAGCCTAACCTTGGGCCTTAATTAAGTTGAAAAAAAGTCTGTTGTACTGTGAGGCTAGACCTGTTGCTGCAATTTCCAGGGACCCTGCAGAGGCCAGGCTGCTGGGAAGGAGCCTTACTTCCTATGGGACCTGAAAACTGAGCAGTCCTCAGCAGAGGGAATCAGGAAGGCGAGTGATGGTGGCAGCAGGAGGTGGGCACCATGGCATCTCTCTAGGATGATGACAATGTCCTAAATTGAGAAATCAGAGTGGAGTATTCATTCATAAGCCTATTTCCAGGCTGCTATGTAGAAAGTACTGATGCTACTAGACTTTTGATAAGTCATGTGGAATAAACGCACAGCAGGTGGAAATGTTTTAAACTCACAGTATGATTGCTATTGAATGTATATCGCTTTTATGTTGGTGGCTCACACCTATAATCCTAGCTACTCAGGAGGCAGAGACAGGATGATCACAGTTCAAAGCCTGGGCAAATAGTTTGAGAAACTATTTCAAAAAACCCTATCACAAAAAAAGAGCTGATGGAGTGGTTCAAGATGTAGGCCCCAAGTTCAAACCCTAGTACCACAAAAAAAAAAAAAAAAGTAAAAAAATCATAAGTCAAATCATCACAAAGTTGAAAAATCCCAAGTTGAGCCATCACAAGCTGGGGACTGTCTGTAGCAGGAAGTTATTTGTCCACCTAACAGAGTGTGGTCAGGCTGAATGACTTGTGAGCTTTTCTTAATGTATGAAGCAAAGGATGAAACTTGGTCTTTATTCACTAGCCAGTTCTGTACCTCCCAGCATGTCAGAAGTTGGACACAATTTAAAAACTTTCTTCATTTTTCAGATATTATTATGATGGAATCTATATCAAGGAAACTTCTTTCTTCTATGCCCAGTATTGCTACCTCCTGGGTGAAAAAAGATGTCACAGGTGAGTATCTGTCACTTGGATACTTTTGTCATGGGTCACAAGTTTGGTTACTATGAGAACCATTCATATTTTAGTTGTATCTAACTGACTTTCAGGCTTCTGTACCTTTAAGTATTTCTTAAGGATGGAAACACACATACCTTTGATAGATAAGCTTCCGTCAGCCTCTGGCAATGTTATGGACCAGAGAAATCCACTTCTGGTTCATTCCTTGGTTGCTTTTCATTGTGATCAACACCTCAATTGTCATTTTTTACTGAATGAGTCTTTTCTCAGCCTTCCTGCAAGTTTTTACACAACTAGTCACATCTTTCTGGAAACTTCCTTCAGCCCCCAGTACTCAGTGTCATCCCCTCCCCCTGTCCCCTGTGACTCCTTTCTGCTAACCTCTCCCCATTAAGTGTAGGCATTTCCCAAGATCTGCTCAGCTCCATTGTGTATCTTTCACTCATTGCCTCCCTCAGGCTTCAGTCCTTATCACTGGTCCTTTCCCTCCCACTCCCTGGAAATTCCTCTCTGGTTATTTACTGGACATTTCTACTCATGACCCACTGGAACTTCACACTAAGTATGAGGACATCTAAACTCATAAATTATAACCTCCCCCCAAGTTGCCTCTGCTTCTTGACTTCCCTGTTTCAATTTATGGTACTGATAGAATCCACACAAAATGTCACCCTAAAGTTACTCCTGACTCCCTTGGGTCACAAAGTCCTGTTGATTCTCCCTTTCAGTTCTCCTGACTCACAATTTTGGGTTACTTCTATTTCCTTTAAGCCCTTGTCATCTTATACTGAGATTACACTTGGTCCTGTGGATTTGCGGGCTCCACATGCACAGATTCAGCCAACCTCAGATCATGGGCTTTATAGTTAGGACTATAATCGCTACATCTTGACTAAACATCTACAGATGTGTTTTTCTTGTCACTGTTTCCTAAAGAATACAGTATAACAGCTGTTTACATACACTTAGCATTGAATTAGGTATTACAAGTAATCTAGAGGTGATTGAAAGTATCTGGGAGGATGTGTGTAGGTTCTAAGCAAATACTACACCATTTTATATAAAGGATTTGAGCATCTGCAGGGGTCCTGGAACCATTGCCTGGTGGATACTGAGGGACAACCATATTCATATGGCCCCCTCTTCTCAGCTCCCCACTACTTAAACACAAGCACCAGATTAATCTTCCTCAAATGCCACATTTGCTCTGTCTCTTTCCTGCTCAGAAACCCTTAGGTATTTCTCTTCCCTCTGGGATAAAGACCACATCCCTAGGCTGCTGCTGATAGTTATGTTGACTCTTTTTGCCCAGCATAAACCATAATTTCAGGTGTACTTGCTTTCCTCTGAATACATCACATGTGCCTCTGCCTTTGCTCAGGTCAGCCTATCCTTCCTAAAACCATTCCTTCTTCTGGATCTTCCCAAATCCCATCCATTGACATCCCTCAAGGACACCTACTTGGTGGACCATCCCCAACAGTGCCAGCTCCAGGAAAGCCTCCGTTGTCCATATTTCCATGTTGCTCACTATAGCCACCCAACCAGCATTTCTGCTTAACTCATAAGCTGTCCACTTGGTCTTCATTTGGCACAAATGGATGGTTACATATCATAGTAGCCAAGGATGATTTCAGTTTCACTTATAATCTGGAATTTATCAATGATGCCCCCTTTATTCTAGCTTGGATAATAAATTATAGCAAAGCCCATTGTCACCCTTTGTATGTGACCCTCTGTGTGAGACAGTTGCTGAGTGGAGAGGGATAAGACATGTACCCTCTCTCTGTTTAATAGGGGAGTTAAGATACATGTTTAATTTGATACAAGTGTAGTATAAGTATCAGAAATGTACTAAAGTCCCCATAAGGACTGCACATATTTTGATCAGGAGATCATGAAGGACCTAGGAGGGAGCTGGGATTTGAGCTAAGCTATGAAGAATGGATTAGATTTTTCTTTTTTTAGTACTGGTGTTTAGTACTTTGTGCTTGCTAGGCAGGCACTCTACCACTTGATCTGTACCTCCAACCCTTTTTGCTTTGGATGTTTTTCAGATAGGGTTTCCCCTTAAGCCCTGGCTGGCCTAGACTGCCATTCTTCTATTTGTGCTTCCCTGTGTAGCTGGGATGACAGGCACACTGTGCCCCACCAGATTAGAATTTTGATAAGTAGGGTATGAGAGGGAGGCAGGAGAGAAGAGGATGTCCTGGTTTAGGGAGGAAGGTGAGCGAAGATGAAGGATGTGAAGGCTTAGGCTTCCTGATATACAGCTGTGGAGTACAGAATGAACCTGGAAGGTAAGTGCAGAGGACCTGGGCTGCCAGGCTGCGGGTGGGGGCTTGTGTAAGTCCTTTGGAGGCTTCTTTCGAAAAACAGGGTAGGATCGTCATTGAGACCTCCCAAAGCACAGAAAACCATGCAGCTTTGCTTGTCTCTGGCCTGGTATGGTTTGAATGTTTGTGTTCTACCAAACTTTGTGTTGAACCTAATCCCCAGTACAACAGTATCAAGAGATGGGGCCTTTATGAGAGATTAGGTCACAAGGGTGCCACTCTCATGAACGATATTATTGCCCTATGCTCTTAATGAAAGGTGTTTCACAGAGCTCTCTGACCCTTCTTTCTCTTCTGCCACGTGAGAACACAGTATTTATCCCTTTTGCCCTTCCACCATGGAAGGATGCAGCAATGAGGCTCCATCTTAGAAGCAGAAGTGAGCCCTCACTAGACACAGAAATCTACTGGTGCCTCTATCTTGGACTTTCCACCCTCCAGAGCCATGAGAAATAATTTTTTTAAAATAAATGACCCTGTCTAAGGTTTTTCATCATAGCTGCAGGCTCAGACAAAAGACCTATCCCCAGTAAGAGCAGATACTGAAATAGTTGCCGAAGAACTGAAAACTTGGAATTGGAGTTCAAGAGGCACCGATGGGGAAGGAGAAAGCGGTGGGCCCTTGCCATCAGTCAGAAGAGTGCCTGACCAACAAGGTGGCGTCACAAAGGCCTGTGGGAAGCAGGGTCCTCAGGATCCGGCCGTTGACTGACTCAGTGTCAGTAGCAGGAACAGAGATGACTCACCCAAGTCTGTCCCACCAAAACCTCAAACTCAACCTCAAGCAAAGTCATTGTGTTCTGCTTCAAATCAGCTCTTCCTCTTACAGCTTTTTCATCTCTTAGTCACAAAGATGGAAAAGTTAGATCCACAAAAATAGAGAAGTCAGGGAAGGGAGCAGTTACAGCAAGAGACTTATTTCAGTTACTACTAGAACTTTCTCGCTTACTGTTCACTCCTGGAAGGCAGTGCTAAGGCCCTGCGTTTGGGTTTTGGCCCAGAGCACCCAGCAGTCAGTCACCTCACAGACAGCATGGGGATCCCTGAACACTGGGGAACAACTGACCTGGCAGGCATCCACAGAGGGACAAGCCATTGATGTGTGAGGACTCTGTGTTTGTCTCAGACATCATGGAGATTAGTACTGGTCTTTCTATGGGAACAAGAATGGGCTTTAATATCTGAGGGAGAGAGGGGGTACTGGTGGACTAAGATAACAAAAGTGACATTGGCCTATTCAGGGGATAAGTCTAGCAGTCATGGGCTCAATGCTCAACAAATATTTAATAATGGAGCAGTCTTAAAAGTCTTGGCCAATGAAAAGACAGTTTTGAAAGCATTAAGATTTAAGGCTAACTTCCTTACCAATGCCACTTTGTAAGAAACATTAAATATGTATTTTAGAAGGCAGGAATATATTAAATGATATACTTTTGTTGATAATCAACAAACCACTCTGATGAAAATGCTGTCTATTTTATTGTATAAGATCTTGTGTGAAAAATTCCTCTTAAAAATTAGGTCTCAGCTGGGCACCGGTGGCTCACACCTGGAATCCTAGCTACTTAAGAGGCAGAGATCAGGAGGATCATGGTTCAAAGCCAGTCTAGGCAAATAGTTTGTGAGATCCTATCTCGAAAAAACCCTTCACAGAAAATGGCTGGTAGAATGGCTCAAGGTGTAGGCCCTGAGTTTAAACCCCAGTATGGCAAAAAAAATTAGGTCTCAAAAAAAAAAAGTTATCTCCATGATTTTTCAAGTAATAGAAACTCTGTAATTCGTCCTCCATTCATTTAGTTGTTCATTCAACAAATATTTGAGTTCCCACAATAAGTTAGGACTATTCTAACTACTCGTGATGCTGTGAGAAGGATAAACAAGGTATCTCGTCTTATGGAGCTGTAGTCAGGGAGAAAAGGAGCACTGGCAAGATGGGTGCTGAAGACAGTACAATGGAGTCATATCATAGGAAGGCCTCCCTAAGACAAGGTCGTTCAAGCAGAAATGAGAATAAAGGAGCCAGCCAAGTGAAGACCTGGAGACAAGCATTCCAGGCAGCAAGTGCAAAGGGTCTGAGGCCAGAATAAATTCAAAGATCAGCAAGAAAAGTGAAAGTGGAGCTTGGCAGATGAGCAGGAGAATACGAGGAGGGGAACCTGAACCAGGAGATGAGGAAGCAATAGAAAGACCAGTGTTAGGAGGCATTTGTAGAAGCCCTGGAGGAGGCAGCTGGCTCATTGACATTTTTTCTGAAATACTTTAATTCCCCCAGAGAGACGGCAATACCACATGTGGACAAAAGCAGTAGTGACTGCTGTACATGTTGTCAACTGCCTGGCTCTACCACTAGTAAGCTGTGTGACCCTAAGCAAGTCACTCAATCTCTCTGTGTCTCTGTTTCCTCATCCATTAAACAAAGATAATAACAGCACCTAGTTCGTGAGGATGTTGTGAAGATTAATGAATTAGCACATGAAAAATGCTTACAACAGCACCCAGCATATAGTAAACATTCAGTACAGCTCTTAAACACATCGCTCTTTACTTTGATGCATTTATTTGATCAAGCCTTCATGATTTTTTTCATGCTATTTATATGATTTTTATTCCAGTTATTGGGTTTTTCAATTCTGTAATTTCTACTTGATTCTTTTTATC